TTTCTATTATATATATATATATATATATATATATATATATATAATGGGTAATTGGTGGATCTTGTAATTTTGTTGATAACGTACACTTCAAATTATCATATTATATTATATTATATTATATTATAACTTCTGATTACATGGCAAAAGGTTGCGTCAAAATCAAATGATTTCACACCTACTTTAAACTCGTTTATCAGGTAAAATAAGTAGAAAATAGGGAAATTAGCTCAAATGACTATTTCTCTCATTCAAATTGGTCTCTTAGTCATTTTTCTTATGGGTTGACCAAAATGTCATTAAATCTGCAATACTCAGGTCCGTAATATTATGGAACTAGCTAAAAGACAGGAAAAGAAGATGTCAAATTAAACCAGTTTACCGTCGCAATGGCAGACAGCAGACCTGGCCCGTCACAATTGCGAACCTAGGCATCACAGTTTGCATATCTAGTTGTCCCAATTGCATAATTGTGTTGAATTTTTGTCTTTAGCTAGGTCCGCAAGATTGTGTACCTAAAAATTGCGGAAGTAGTGACATTTGGGTCAACCCGGAAGAGAAATTGTTAGGGAAATGATCATTTAACTCAGGGACTCTAGAAAATACTCTTGATTACATGACAAAAAGCCGCATCAAAATCAATCGATGTCACGCTTACTTAAAACTCGTCTATCAAGTAAAATGTGTACAAAATGTTTTTTTCATCCCAAAATAAATGTTCATCAGAAAAAACACATACAATTCTGTAAATGTGAAATCATCACATTTTTTAGTGAACTAAATAATAATTTTACTCTTAATAATAGGAGTAATATACTTCTTTATTTATGGGCAGAATTGAAAAGTATGTACTTACTTTTGAAAGTGAACACTTATTTTAGAACAAATAGAAATCTGATATTTATTTTGGTATGAAGAATTAAACATTTGTTACACTAATCAGTAAAAAAGTTACCGTTACATAAAACCTAAGAGAAAAATCGTAACTTTCTGATGCATTATTTGTCCTTTTTCCATTTATACAGTAATTTTGTAAACTAATCAGATATAAATTCTTTTCAAATAAGTCGAAAGTAAATAGAGGAGTAACAGAGAGTGAGAATTCAATTTATAAGCCCATATAAGGTCACAAGGGTCTCACATATTGCAAATTAGTTATGTTTCATTTGCTGCAAGTTGAAAACCATTTTATAACTGTCTGTCGAGTATCATGTGATATAATAAATCGCGTGAAAGATTCTGATGAAATTTTTTGTTTTTGATTTAACATATCTTGAATCAAAAAAGGAGTATCATGTTGCGTAATAAATGACATTGGGCCCACGGCTCGAACATGCTTGTGTTTCGTTTTAGCCAACATGAGAGTGGATGGTGTATGTACTACGTACAATATTGTTTTTTTTGAACAAATGTTTAGAATCCGAATATATATATATATATATATATATATATATATATATACGTATATATATATATATAATTAAATAAGAACTAATTAGTTTGTGGTAACCGTAAGTTCTAATCTCAACCACAAATCAACAGATACATTAGGAAATTTATAATTTTATTAATTTTGAATTAAAATTTTAATGCAATGACATTTTAGGTATTTTTCTCTTCTCTCTCTACTCTCTTCTCTCTCCATCCCCTGGCCTCCGTCCTCCGTCCTCCGGCCACTTTGTGTGGTCGATCGGAAATGTAACACAGTGGTATCACAATGCATCTTAAATGTGCATGGGTATCACACTGTGTCTTTTTGTTTAACAAAGTCAATATTTTTAAATATCACAGTGGTATCATCGGAGGATGGTATCTCCTGTCCCTCTCTCTTCTACGTTTGGACTCCAACGAACACCATGTGGTACCTAAAATACACCAAGATACACAATGTGATACTCAAAACACACCAAGTAAACTTTGAGACCACTCTGATACCAACTGTGTTACCACTGTGATACCAAGTGTCGGGAATGTTCATAGATGGTGTTTAGTGGTCGATCATCGGAGAAGGCGTCTTGATCAAACAAGATAACCGAAGGAGATCATGGGAGTGGTGGTGGGTGCCGGAGAAGGCCATCGGATTTGATTCGTGTGTGTGTCCGTGTGTGTGTGTATATATACATATATTAAAATAAATAAACTAACTAAAGTAAATTGGAATATTAAACTAACTAAAGTAAATTGAATAATCAACACGATTTACTAATTTAACCTTTGTTTTATTTTAGTAAATAACATTAATTATCTAAAATGATTGACTCATATTGGACCTTATAATTACTAAAAACTATCTAATTCTCATCTGATTAGGCCCCTATATATATATATATATATATATATATATATATATATATATATATATACCATTTTGTTAAATTAAAAATTTTACGATTTTACATTTATTAATTTAATTTTTCAATACAAGAAACACATGTACATTGATCAAAACACGGGACCCGTTCAAAAGGGCATCTTAATAAATTGTACTTAAAAAACAATAGAGCGTCCCAATAGAGTTTTTTCTTTAGCCATCTAAGCAAGTGAAAGAACTCATGAGAGAAAATACGACTTTTGCTTTTGAAGTCACAAACTCTGAAAGAGCTTTTTTTTTTTGCGTGTGGGTCCCACTTCTCTGGAAAAAGCTCTTGTGAAAAAGTCCAACCATTGTCGACGCTCTAAAAGGTCAAATTCGCTCAATTGCTTTTCACAAACCTTCCCTGCAAATAAGATTAAATGAGATTCATACGCAAACTGTTAACCAAATCATGAAATACAGTACTATAAAACAAGTATATTACCTTAATACGAGGGCGTTTTTCGGCATTGAGCTTTCTTACTTCATAACGAATGGTTTTCGCAAATAAGCGGTTACGTCTTTTCTCCTTGTACCTTTGAACACTTGCTTCTCTACGATGAATCATTTCGTTCGACCCGATTGCCTGCATTGTGTCATCTCCTCCATCAGTGTCATTATTCTCAGTACCTGGTATTTCAGGAACTGTCCACGACCCTTCATTGCCGCCATTTTCTCGTTCACACTACACATAACGTAACATAAATAGATAAACATAATATCGAATATTTTCAAAACATTTGGAGAACTCATAAATTATCGGGCCTGAGTGTAATTTTTCAAACTTGTGATGTGCAATGTGGACAAAGTGAAAAGTAGAGGGGGCCAATTTGAATTAATCTTGATTGCTTTCTGAACTTGTACCATACAACCTTTTAAAGCAGTGGGTCCGGTGTATTAATGGACATTTTGGCTCATTTCCAGACTTCAAATTTCTAAAGCCAGAGCAACATTTTCCCGTAAGTTTTCATTAAATCATGTATGAATAAAAGTGTTTATATGAATTTGTCTGTATTTATAAAATAAGAATATTTTTATTTGGGAGGGTTTTTTCATAAATGGAAAAAGTATGTTTTTATTGGAATGAGTAGGTTTGAAAAAACCTTAGCTTTTTATATCATTAAGTCACTTTCTATATCATTAAGTCACTACCAAACATTCATAAATAACTAACCGAATAAGTTATGAGTCTCATAAAGCTACTAACAAAAAAAAAACCTTATACAATATCCTTTATAGAACTTGTATACTTCAATAGAATTTAGAAGTTTTAGGTCTGGAAAAGTAATTCTACCTTTGTATTTAATAGCATTTATATACGGTTTTTGACCGACCGAGCTCAATAATTCCACACTGATTAAGTTCAATAATTCGGAATCTAGAGTATCAAACACTCAAAATTGTCAAAAGAAAGACCACCGACAAGTGTACATTGTCGTAATATGGCCTCATCCATAAAAGCAAACCGAAACATGGGTCCATCCATAAAACTGGACTGAAACGTGACCATCCATAAAAGCGAACCAATGCTACCTGGATTTTGAAAAATCGGTCTAAAATTGTATTTTACAACATTTATTTCAATCGAAGATATAAAAACATGTATTAAATTATCAAAATATTTTATAAATTTATCATCTCTATTTATATTTTAATTATTTTATAAAGTAATAATAATTCAATCTATTTTTATATAAATAAAAAATCAATTTCTCTCAAATATTAAATTATAAAAAAAATTATAAACTAAAATTCTATTTTAAAAATAAATGGAAAATCTTTAGAAACAAAAAGAATTTCCATATGTTTATATTAAAAAATCTATAACACTTTTACATGTTCAAAGTTAATTCTTTTGCCAGTTTTGGTACCCACAAAACCATTATTAAATAATAAACAAATTGATTCGTAAAAAGGGTAAAATTGAAAAGTAAAAATTTATTTAAAAAAATAAACATTTAAAATATCGTTTATCAAACACAAACTAGGTAAGCAGATACCAGCTTACTTACCTTACCAGGTAGGTATGGCAAGGTCTAATAATTTGACTGGACATGACAAGAATCGAGAATGTTACGCAGTAAGTGAGAATGGTTACCAATAAATAAGTGTCCTAGAGACTGTTTTATGAGCCATAGCTTATAGGATCAACAGATAAAGCGTCTAATAAGTTTATAAAATGTTTTTAGGCGTCTTAATAAGTTTCTTTATGACACACATTAGCTATTTTATAGGACGTTTTCTCAAAAGTGTCGTATAAAATAGCTAATATGACGTTTTTCTTATAAAAGTGTCTAATAAACTTGTTACGATGCCGAAATTGTTCTATAAACTTATTACAATGTTTTATGTTTTGATTCCATAAATTATATCTTATAAAGTGGTCTATTAGGACGTTTATTTATTGGTAGCGTCCTATAAATCTAATTTTGTTGTAGTGTTACCGAGTAATGTTAGTGTCTGTTCTGATATTTTGATGGTCGAGAATCTTACCCGATAAGTTTATTAAAAAAATGAAAAAGGAAAAAGGGATCTTACATTAAGAGGAGGAATGGTGGAAGAGGATAGAAAGAAGTCATCTTCTTGGAGTTCGGGTACGGTTTGGATATCCGGATTATTGTTATGGATATAAAGTGGGCCCTTATTCACCCATGAATTCATAATCTTTTCATAATCAAGTTTCAAAACCAATTTATTCCGATGATCATGATCATGATGACGATGATGGTATGATGATGTTGATGATGATGATGATGCTGACAACCCTCTAATCATCACCTTCTTCTTCTCCTTGACAACCTCCGAATAACAAACCCATTTCAAATCATCATCGTCCCTTTCCGTTTTATTCCTCCTCATCGCCGTCCGTACAAGCTCCACCTCCTCGTCTGCGTAGTTAACCGACGACGGAGATGGGTTGTTGGTGTATTCTTCCTCTTCGTCGGAGCGGAGAATTCCGGTGAGGGTGGTGGCAGCTCCGTCGTCATCGCAAGAGGAGAATATGCAAGCCATGTTATGCTCTTCGTCTAGTTTGTCTTGTTGATCATCCACTAGGTTTTCAGGGTGAAGTGGGAAAAGATTGATGAGTTGTTTGTGGTGGTTGGTGGTGGTGGGCATTGGTGGTGGTGCGGCGGAGATGAGGTGGAGACGGAGGAATCTGGGTTTACGGAGTTTAGTTCGGGATCGACGTGAGGATGGTTTAAGAGTGAGTGTGGATTCTTGTGCAATCATAGTAAAAAGGGGTTTGGTTTTATTTGGGTGGATGGAATGGAGGGTTTATGTAGTGAAGAGGATGGCGTTTGGAAGGATTGGAGGGGGGAGACGTGGGTTGATTTGATTGGTGGAGGGATGGATTTTGTGGAGATTTCGTTTGGATCCCCGTAGATAAGAATAAGAGGTAAGAGGAGATGTTGTTTTACATTCATGCCCACAATGCCTTTTTGCTAATACGGGAACTTTTAGGCTTTCTCATGTCTTGCACGTGATGACCTAAGCACTTTTCTTTTATGGGCTACAATACATGGCACCCATATATAGATACAATTTATATATATATATATATGGTATATTTCAAATGTAATTATGTTCATTTGTACAATTAATACAACATAATGACTCACCTCTATATGTATACACACATAATGATTATCAATGTGATATTTAAAATGGACGGTTGAGATTGAGTTGTATTGGTTGTACAAATGTAAAAGGTTGCATAATAATTCACCTCTATATATATACACACATAGGATTGGGTTGCATTGAGAATGAAAATTGTAATGAGAAGCATAAAAAGAGATCTTCACTCTTTGATCAATCATAATTAAATGTCAATACTAATGTTTTTTTTTATGGAATTTGACTTTTTTGAAGAAAAAAAATTGCTTTTATGTTAAATCCCTACATATAAAGGTGACACATGGGATATTAATTATAAATATAGATGTATTATTTATAATAAATGTTTAAACATATTTATCATCAATGTAACGATTCATGATGAATGCTATTTCTATCCTCAACCAGAAGAGAAACATGTGACGCTCTATAGACAGTTCCCGAATTCCTACATATATATATATATATATATATATATATATATATATAAGGTTTACTTTGCAAATCACGTTATTTGTACAAACCGTATTAACCTCATTCAATTAATCATACTTTTTTATTTTGTTCAATTTTTTTGTAATTATGAAATGTTGATTAATTATTTTTATTGTGAGGGTTGTTAACAATGGATATTATCATCTTCATTATATTAATTTTAAAAAAATACATGAAACAGTTTCATTAAAATTTCATAAGTATTATATGAAACAGTTTCATAACCATATATGAAACAAGTTCATCAAAAAAAAGTATTATATGAAACAATTTCATAAGATTAAATAACGAAATCGACGGATGAGGATATTTTGTACAAATATGAGTGGTTTACATTTAATCACTCATCTCTCTATAATATATATATATATATATATATATATATATATAGAGAGAGAGAGAGATTTGGTATCATGTGAAACCAGTATGTTTTTGTGAGATCCATGAAACCATTTTTTTACACTTGAAATTTCACAACAAAACACAGTGTTTTTGTTGTGAAGGTTCGACTTTATTTTTACTTTCACAACGTTTTGCTATGAAATTTCAAATATAAAAAAATATGGTCACATGACTTTCACGAAAACAGATTGATCTCACGTAGACGTAACCATGTATAAATGAAAACAATTGTGACACAAACGGAGGTTCAAAGTTGAAGCCAACATCTCTAATTTTCAAAAAGGTGATGGTATATTATACATAGATGCCTTGGGCCACCATATTACCAATTGCAAGTCTCTATGGCCCACTAAACTCTTCATCATTCTAAAATCTAAACCATATATAATATGTTCTTGGAATTCTTTCATCATTTAAACCATATTTATTTAATTTCCAATCCTTTTTATATTTTACCCTTTTTCCACTTTTGTATTTTTTTAATCCATATTTGTTATAATAAATTAATTAAATATTAAAAATGTATCAAATTATATATTAAAACAGTATTAATAAATTATTAAAATCTAAAAATGTATAGACCTATTAAATATAAAAACATCATAAATATCATGTTAACAATTAATAAAAAAAAAAATAAGTAATAAAAGGTATAAGATTTGGGATCACGTGGGACTGGCATGTTTTCGTGAGACCAGTTTTTTAAACTTGATTACTTTAAACTTCACAGCACAACACTGTGAATGTAACATTCACAATGTTTTTGCTGTGAAAATTCGACTACTATTATCTTTACAGCGTTTTGCTGTGAAGTTTCAAGTGTAAAAAGTGGTCTCACAAAAACAGGTTAGTCTCACGTGAACCCAATTCAATGGCAGTGGTGGACTTAGGGGCTGTTCGGTTCATTTTCTTTTAAGACCTGTATGGATATAGTTGTCTGTATATTAACAGATAAGTTGTTGTTCGGTTGTTGTGCTGAATAGACAGTCTGAATGTCAGAAATGACCATTTTACCCTTCGGTCTATATCTTTTATCGATAATTATATATTGTTTCCGATCTATTAGTTTGTGCCAACTCAATATAAGAAAAAAACCCCAATTTAGATTTTTCATATAAAATATATATTATATAATATAGTGATATTTGATACCCACGCCTCACTTCCAAGTCTTCAACACACTCTTCTTCTTCCCCAGTTTCTCTCTCTCTCTCTAGATTCTCCATCTCTCTCACGCATTCTATGTCAAGAAGGGAATAAATGCATATGACTATTTTTGTAGCTGAGCGATTCAGCCATGGGCTGACCGAATAAGCTCATACCGAACAGTTAGATATGGTTGTGCGAATAAGCCATATGGCTTATACAGCCCATTAAGCCGCAACCGAACAGCCCCTTAGTCTATAAGGGACCCCACAACCCTATCCGACCATCGCCGACTCCAAAAAAGTCTCTTGAAATCAACCAAAAAAAAGTCTATTGAAATCAATCAAAAAAACCGAAAACGTTTTTCGAAATCGATAAAAACACAAAAAAAAATCTCTCAAAACGTTGTAATCAGGTTAAAAACACGTCACTTTACGAACCTTTTAGTTTACTTTAAAGGTGACCCCACTAAGCAAAAATATGGTTGGATGTACTAATGACAAAAAGTATAATATTAAAGATGACTATTTATGTTTTTGATAGGTATCTCTCTCGATCAATCACCATGGATTTTGATTGATCCTTGTTTTCCACTCGATTCTCATCACCTTTATTTTCTACCTTTTTCTCCCTCATTTTCAAATAATTCATTTACGTTTTTTCTTTATTTTTTTAATATTAATTATTAATTTATTTTAGATTAATTTTGAGTTTTGTGATAAAATATATATTGTATTGACCTTTTCCTTTGACTACCTCACTCCTTCATTATTTGTTCTATATTGTTAACGGTCATTAAAACGTTCCATTAAACGAGAGTCGTTCTCGTTCTTTATTTTTTTGTCTTTTACACATTCAAAAACAATTTTATGATTTTGGCCCACATGATTTTTGTTTGGGTAAAAAACAAAAAACTGATAAATGATGAAAATGTCTCTTATTTAACAACCGTTAGATAGAAGGATCAAATACGATTGTTTTTACAAACAATGTTTGACATCTTGTAATTTCAAAATTTTAGGGACTGAAAGTGTTATTTTGAAAACCATAAGAATGAAACCGATAACCCACTTTCGTAGAAGCCAAACCATCATATTTATAAGAAAAAAAGAACTCGTATTTGTTCCTTTAATTTATATCGGTTTTACGGTTTAAATATATTCAAACCAATTCCTTTATACCAACGACAAATCATCGGTTTATTCATTTGTGAATAATGTGTTAATTATGTTCACCTTTAAAATCCGGAAATTAACTTTCGTTTTGATATATTCATCGGTTTATTCATTGTGAATGAGTTACTTTCGTCTAAACGCTACCGTTTATTCACGTTTTTAAGTGTGCGGACGTCCGTAGATTAAGTCACTAAGAGATCATAGCCAAGCACAACACAATACATACATACTATATATATATATATATATATATATATATATATATATATATATATATATAATAAGAGAAGAATGTATTGAAAAGAGCTCACCAGCAATGGCATTTCAAGTTAAGACAAAAAGGGGGCCCTGAGTACATGATCAGCAGCTACGAAATCAAGAATTATGCCAAAATCAAATCCAAAAAAACACACACACACATGCAAACCTATTTGTGTGTGTTTTTCCTTTATGTTCATCCCTAAGCCTTCTCCTACTTCCATCAATCAAACTCATTACTTATGAAATCTAGAACATGAAGTAACTTGCGATGGCGATTGCACCGGTCGCAGCCGACCCTTTGAGGCTAGCTCCGGCGCCGAATGGTGCATCGGCCGGTGCATCAGACCCCGGTGCGTCAGATACCGAAGGGTTGCTGGACGATGGAGCAGGTGGTGATGATGCCTGACCTGGGGTGGCAGATGATGCGTGAGCTGATCGGGAGGACTTGGGGGCAGCGACGGAAGGACGGGGAGCAGATGACTTCTTGGGTGGTGGGGCATGGTGGTGGCTAGGCTTTGGTGGCGGTGTGGCTTTGTGGGGCTTTGGTGGTGGGGCATGGCTTGACTTGGGGGCAGCGTGGCTGGCGGGGGCAGAAGCAGGGGCGGCGCTGGCGACGAAGCCGACGAGGGCGAGGGAGATGAGAGCAAGAACAACCATTTGGCGTGCCATTTTTGTTATTGCAAAAAATGGGAAATAAACGAGTTGATCTTATTGGTCGATTTTTAAGAACTGCAGTGATCTCTAAGTTTTGGTGAAAGTTAGAGAAAAACTGCTTATTCCCAAGAATGATGAATGAGAATGGTGGTGGCTCCGCCGTTTATATAGGGTTGCCTGCCGCCGGATACGGCGGAGATGAGTGGCGGAGATTGTTTTTATGATCAACAAACCGGAGGAATTTGTGAGGATGTGAGCTGAATTAGCCATGAAATTAGGTTTTCTTAGTTTTGGTTATGTTTTTTTGACTTTTTGAAATTTGACTTAATTACAGTTTTGGTCCCTGTAGTTTCTTGAAATTTGTTGTTTTTATTTTTCTACTATTTATTATGATTTCCATATTTTAATTTATTTTATAATTATTTTCGTTCTTATTCTTTGTAATTAGAAGTTACTCGTGCAATGCAGCAAGATACGTATTCATTTTATTGTTTCATTTTATTTTTTGTATTTGTTAATATAATATAGTTTATGTAGTTTTGAGAAAGATAATGTTTTTTACTTTTGAATAAAAATATATTTGAAAACATCATAACATTTTTTAAAAATATATCGATATTGATATCAAATTAACTATTTAAGAATTCTTATTTTTTATATAATTTATTTAATTTATTTTTTATTATAATTTAATTTAGGTTAAATAGTGAAGTAATTTATTTCTGGCTTAATAATAAAAAATTTATAGAGATAATGATTTTGTTAGAACTCGATAATTATTCTAATTATATTTTAGATTTTTTATATTTTAAAATGAGATGTTTATTCTCTATTTGATCATGTTTATCCACAGTTAGTTACAAGAATTCAAACATGAAGCTTTAATAAATTGTATTTATGCATAATTTATTTGTAATATTGAATTTTAAGTAATATGCATCAATAAACAGTATTCGTGCATAAAAAACGGTTTTTAAGAGTTTTTCTCAAATGCTTTATAATATAGTATAGATTTTTTTTCTGTTTTCATCTTTGTAGTTTAAACTTTAAAGTTTACGGATAGAAATTAGCTTTAGAGATGAAAATAGAAATTGTAAATTATATGGATAAGAACCATAATTTATAAACTATAAGGATGAAAGTCGTAATTTTAAACACGATGTATAGACCAAAAACATAATTTATCTTTTGAAATCTATATCTATATTATAAAGCATTTCAACAAAACTCTTAAAACTCATTTTTTATGCATAAAGTAYKGTTTATTAATGCATGTTACTTAAAACTCATAATTACAAGTAGATTGTGCGTAAGTACAACTTATTAAAGCTCCATATCTGAATTCGTGTAACTAACTGTAGATAAACAAAATCAAATATATGATAAACATCTCATTTTAAATATAAAAAATCTAAAATATAATTAGGATAAACATTGAGTTCTAACAGAATACTTAATTATTATCTTTATAAAATATTATATTATTAAACCAAAAATAAATCATTTCATTATTAAACTTAAATTAAATTATAATTAAAAAAATAAAGAAATTACAAAAAATATAATAACTTTTAAATAATTGATTTTCTCTCGATTTTAACATATTTGAAGTAAACAAGCTGCTAAATTTTCTAAAATTCCTATTTTAATATAAATGTTAAAAATACTTTCAAATTCATTATATCAAATTTAATATCTTTATCAAAATAATTTACTGTAATTTTTGATATTTAAACCACAAGGGTTATGCCTAATTGGTTTAGGGATGATGATTTGTCCGCACCCGGTAGGGAACCCGGTTCACCCGATCTGAACGGGGATGGGGATTCCCAGCTAAAACGGGTCATGGGGCCGGGGATCCCCGGTAGACTCAAACCGGGGACGGGGACGGAGCAGGGGATGTTATTCAAACCGGGGTCGGGATCACCGGTAGAATCAAATTAAAGGATATTATTTATGAGGTTTGACCGAAGATTGACCGAGGTTTGACCGAGGGCGGGATGTTAATCCCCGTACTCGTCAGGGACCGAGGCCGAGATGTTGCTTCAAACCAGTACCGAGGCCGTGGATTACAAATCCCGCCTCATCCTCGCCCCGTTGCCATGCCTAGATTGGTTTGAACTTGAGCTTCAAAGGTCAAAAGTGTCTAAAGGTCCAGGTTCAAATCTAAGGAAGAATAAAAATTCTCTTGTGGCCATGGAAGTTCAAATACGAGGACTCCAGACTATCCGTAAAGCAAGCGATCGTACTGAGATTAGTCGGCTCACATAACAGATTGGATATTCAAGTTAATAAAAAAAATGATATTTAATGTAAGAAAAAAAAGGAAATAACCAAATATTTATATACCACCACAACCTTTTACCTTTCTCATTTCATGTAGCATTTGAAAGCAAGATGATATGAAATAGAACATATGCCACCCAAACAACATCAAACCAACCATTGAATTTTACAGTTTTTCGGTTAAATAACATCAAATCGCGAGCTCCCGAGTTCGCGTACTCTATCCATCCGATCAACGCTCTTTCTACCTCTTTCGAGCTGTTGAAGATCCACGCTTTTTCTCGATTTTTCAATCACGTCCACGCTCCTTCTCGACCTCTCGATTTGATCAAACGACATCCTCATTTTCTCGACTGATTGTGTCTTCACTTTCTCTGTGCTTTTCCGGGGTTTCTCTCTTCGATCGGTGCTCTTTCTCGATGCCTCAAACACGTCGGTGCTCCTCCTTGGCGGCTCAAAGTGGTGGTCGGTGCTCCTCCGAGAACTGCTGTGCCGGTGTGACGGTGATTTCTCGACTGTCGATATGAACTTCTTTAGATGGCGGATGTATTCGGGATACAACTCTAAATCACAGTGGTTTCCGCCTTTGATCCAAAGTGGTTCGTATTTCTCTTTCGACAGCTCCCACAGTTGCTTCCCGTGGCAGAAATCAACCACTTCATCGGCAGTGCCCTATAAAACGATATAAAGTTTTCATCTTTGCGGTCATATATTTCGTTTCATGAAGAAAACATCTACCAATTTATATCGATCTAATCCAAGATTACATTGAATATCATACTCTTCCGTAAAGATGAATAATCAAGCCCGTTTATCAAGAAGCAAAGAGAAGCCCGGGCCAGGCTTTCGGTTAGAAAGAGGGCCCGATCAGGATTTTGAAGACGGGGCTTAACCGAGTTTTTCAGACCAAGCTTTAACCGAACCTTGTAAAAAATTGGCCTTAACGGGCTTTAAAGGACGGGCCTGGGCTCAGGCCTACTAGGCCACGGCTTTTCCAGAAGGACTTGGGCTTTTCTGTGTAACTATATTCTTCATATCAACAGGATCGTTTCAATCCTTTTGTAGACCTAATTACACCTGTACCAAGACTAGGTCGTGAAGGAGTAATAAATAAGAAAGAGTAAACCTCAATTTGGTCCTTGAGGTTTAATGAAAAGTACGGAAATGGAACTTGAACTTTAATAAGTTTAAAAATCATCCTTGTGTTTTTCATTTTGTTCTGAAAGTGGTCCCTAATCGTAAACTTTGTTTATTTTCTCCGCTAGAGCAAGGAGCATTTCAGTCTTTTCATCAAAAAAATTATAAGATTTTATTTTATATTTTCTTTTTATAATAACAAATTTTATACTTAACAAGAAATTTTTAAATAAAATGTTATTTTATTTTATAAAAAAAAAAAGTGATTTTGATGAAAAGACTAAAATACCCCTCCATCTAGCAGAGAAAATAAACAAAATTAACGACCAGGGACCACTTTCAGAACAAAATAAAAAACACAAGGATGATTTCTAAACTTATTGAAGTTCAAGTCTTACTTTCAGACTTTACACTAAACCTCAAGAACTAAAATTAATGATCACTCTTAAGAAAAAAAAATACAAGAGAGGACTAGGGTTGTTTAATCCCTATGATAACTGAGGAAATCATGTATAACCAGATAAAAGGCTAAAACATGCATAATCAGACGTAGATATTTTAAGGGCCCGTTTTATATCTGATAATGGTATACCCTCGATGTTTACAACCAATTAAATCCTCCTTTTTTGTAGGGTCCCCAAGAATCAAACAATCACATCTTGGTTTGTATTTATACATCAAGATCTATAAAATAACAAAGGGTAAAATGCACAAAAAAAGAATCTTTTTTATTTTATGTTTGGTGCAATGGGGTTGAATCATTAAAAAGGAGGAAGATGGCAATCATTTAGATGTTAGTTCAGATATTACATCAAGACATGTAACATGATAAGCAGAACAATGGGTTGGTAGGGGCCATCTACTACATAATTCCAAACACCAAATAATGTCACTGAGATGGTGATATATATATATATATATATATATATATATATATATATATATATATATATA